CATGGAAAACTAAATGGCCTCTTTTTCCTTGGCTGGATGTGCACGGCTGTGGAGCGGGCTGGCACGGAGGGAACTCTGCAGGCAAAAGTTCCCTCCACTCATTTAGTTATTAAAGAGGAGGGCTCTGTGGAGCAAAGTTTGCCATTCTCAGCCCTTGCTGCCTTGGTTTTTTAAACCAGAAAGGCTCTGGCCACCTAACCCTCCTAGTTGTGAGTGAAATGTCTTGGAGCCTGCAACAGCACAGCTTCACATCCCTTCCTAGAAAATCTGGAGGTGAAGCCCCCAGGAGCAGGGCTTTCTCCAAAGGGAAGGGAAAGCCAGGGTATCACTTATGCAAGTCCCTGGGCTGCAGCAATTCCAGTGAAGCCTGGGCAAGCAGTGGGCATTGGTGACACTGCTGTCTCCTCATCGTTGTCCTCCATCTCTTCTGATCCTAGGATATTTCATGATTTCCCTGGGAGAAAGGAGCTGAAGTTCTTTTCACAAATGGGAAAATCATTAATTTAATGCTGCTCCCACTCTTTTCCATCCCCTGGCCCAGCTGTGTAATCTTGCCTCTAACCATGTTAATAAAAAGCACTAAAATACAGGTCCAGCTCCTACTATTTCCAGGAACCTTTGGTCCCATAAAACCATAGGAAGGCATAATTTCAGCAAATTAAATCAGTTACTGCCTATCTCTCTGGCTGAATGCATGGAAAGGGAAGAGCACCCTGCTGGCTCCCTGCATGGGGAATAACACCAGTCAAACTCCACCAGTGTCCATGCTGGGAAAGGGAGGCAACAGGCAGTCTGAGAAAGGCACATCTCCCTTGAGCAGACATTAAAGAAATAAATATGCAGTAGAGAAAATGTACAGTGAGCACTGAGCTCATCAGTCACTTTATGTTTAATCTAATTAAACACAATATATCCTCTGACCTTCTGCACTGGCACTAAATTCTCCTGTGTTGTTCTTTCCATACGAAGCTCTATTGACAGATGGGGAAAGCCCAGAGTTTGCTTTAAGCTTCAGATAAGTGAAGTTAAACATACAGCCGATAAAATTGTTTTGCCAGCTCTCCTCTCCCCCTGACCAATTGTGGGTGCTCACTGGGAGGGATTAGCTCCTCTGGCCTGTATCCCACTCCTGGCTTGGGATACTGCTCTGTGCAGCAAGCAAAAGCTGTAAGAGGGCAGAGGCAGAAGCAGAGTGCTGCAGAAACCCTGAGAAGTTCTTTTTCAGAGTTGGTTCTGCACTTGCCGAGCCTCTTTTCCATGTGGCAGACTATTAGGGAAAACGGTGCCATTCCTTGCTAAATATATTTCCAGAGTCACTAAATAATTTACTTAACAGCTAATCAGCTGGCATTTGCTGATGCTGAACCAGGTTTTAAATAAAAAGTGTTGAATTGCATCAGACACCTCGTGCACATTCCCTGCTTATACAGGCTCCATGCTCTTGCTGCCTGTGCAGGAGTGCAGTCAGTGCACACAGCTTCCTGAGTTTTCTGGGAGGGAAAGGACTGGTTTGGGGGAGAGCTGAGAGCCAGGGTGCCACATCAGGTGCAGGCTGTGATCATGCAAAAGGTTTGGAAATGTGCTTCCCTTTAGAAATGATCACCTGCAGGTTCTGCTCCTTGCAGGCAAATGAGAAGAGCACGGATCTGCCCTTCACCTGCATCACTTGGTAATGTCACCTGCAGAGCTGTTTCTTCCAGGATGGTGAAAAATCCTTTGAGTCCAGGGAGTTACCACACCTCCATGCACCTACAGCTGTGCCTGTGCTCCTGGATGTGTGAGCAAATAACTCCTTGAAATGTAAACCAAAAGTTACAGACTACTGCAGAGCCCAGAGGCGCCGACCTTATGGTTCCCCACAGGCTGACACAGTGTTAAAGAAGATTTCTTTACTGTAAATAGTCTTAATACTCAATTTGCCTATTAATAGCACCAGGCAGGGCAGGAGGCAGTGGAGGGGCTGTTTCCTGCATGTGGAGTGAGACTGGAGTGGTGTGAACCTCGTGGCTCTGGTTTTCCATGGCTGGCTGCAGAGCCTGGCATGAGGTTGGCATGGCCGGGATCCCAAACCCTGGGCTTTGAGATCTGATTGCACATCAGTGTCTGAATAAACAGAGACCTCTTGCCAGGGTGGAGGACCCTGCAGATGGTTAAAAGCCACCTCCCATCTCTCAAGGGAAGGTACAGAGGCTGACTTTCTGGTGCAACACTCTACCTAGGGAGAATTTTGCTGTCTTCAGGCAAAGGGAGTGGCAGGATCCCTGGGGGCATTGGCCACTGTTGCTCCTCTGGGATCCCCTCTGCTGCTGGTTTAGTAGAGAATCTGTCCTTGCAAAACTCAGCCTTTTGAGCACTGCCACAACACAGCAACATTCTTTTGGTGAAGCAAACTTCTCCTTATTTCATTGGGAGGGGGCTCAGGTGTTAAACAAAAATCCAATGGCTCCTGAAGGAATCAGAGGGACAGCAGTCTCTCTTCTCCCCTGTTAGGGTTCAGTGGTTGCCCCTGTGGGAAGCAGGGAGAAAGGGGCTCTGTGAATCAGAATTGTGGGTCACCCCTGCAGCAGTGACAGCTGACCTTGCAGTCGATTTCCAGCAGGTTGGGAGTGGCTTGAAATGGATGAAGCTGCCTCAAGCTTTGCCATAAAAGAGGTTGTTACACATGTCCTTAAAACTTGGGTTGGAAATACCTGGCTAAAGGTGTGCCTGAAACTGGGTGAGGCCTGGGTGAAAACATTTCCCTCTGGCAGAGAGTGGGTGAGGATGTGCTACCTGTTCCTGGGGTGGCTGTGCTGAGTGGCTGGCTCTGTGACCCGTTCAGATCAGCAGAAGGGTTGGTTTTTGTTGAGTTTTGTGTCTCCAGGGGACTCAGGGTCATTACCCTGCCTTGGGAGCAGTGCTGGAATGGAGAGCATCACTCCTGGGAAAGCCCTGGCAGGGGGAAGCCAGAGTGGCTTGCCCTGCTTTGGGAACTGTTTGCCTCCACTCTGCCTGTACCTTGAAGTACCTCAAGGGTTTAACTATAAAGCTCTAACCACCACGAACCAAAATCTTGGCTTGGGAAGGCACATTGCCTTGGCGTGTTTCCTGGGACTGAGTGACTTACGATGCTGTGCTGCAAGTGAGGGGAGGACTCCTTCTTTTAGAGGAGGTGGTCACACACCTTCAGAGTCCAAACTCCCCCGGAGACTTTCTCTTCCCCATTTTTTCATGACATCAGCCAGGACTTGATGTTACTATTTTAAAAACAAAAGGAGGGGACACCCCCCCCGCTTCCCCTTCGCTCTCTGCCAGAAGGAGAACAAAGAACAGCTAAAACACACAAGTTCTGGCACTCTGTGTGGAAATAAAAACATCCATCCTCATGTCAGGTAGGGAACTGCCCGACCCCCCTGCCAAAGCAAGCAAGCCCTCGGCGTGGAGGAGCCCTGGAGAAGGGGATGCCCGGTGTCACCCCGTGCCTGGGCAGCTCCTGCCAAACTCCTGCAAGGCTGTCGCAGTGCCAGGCTGTGCTGGGACGCTCCCGGCCACGGGCAGCCTGCCAGGGAAGGGCTGCCCTGCTCCTGCCAGCCTGCAAAGTGGGGAAAGACCTTGATTGCTCCCCTCTCCCACTCCTGTGCTGCCCACCACCCTGCATCTCCCTGCTCCCCATCGGGCTGGTGCATGGGATAACCCTGGTGTAATTACCACGCTTTAGACACGAACATCTCTGTCTGGCTTCTTGCTGCTTGCCATTTAAACATGTCAGCAGTTCCCAGCACGGATTCCTGTGCTGTGAGTTCACCCCCAGCAAGCATCCAAACTGCAAGTTGGGGCTGCTGGCTCTTCCCTGCCTGTCTGTGAAGCATTACTGGAACAGGGGCCAGTTCTCCAAACACGAGGAAGAGATTACTTGGGCTTTCTGGAAGGCTCCCTCCCATGCTTTCACAGCGGAGCAAATGAGGATAATTTATCTGCTGGCTTCCAGCTGAACCCAGGAGCTTGGAGCAGCCAAGGACTACACTGTTTGTCCCAGCTCCTGCAAGAAGGCATTTTTCCATTGTTGCCCTTGTATATCGTTCGCATAATTTGTTTGTGCCGTCACCTTCTGGGGCCAAGATAAGAGGTCATCCCCTGCCTTTTGCTGGTGGTGTGTTCCCTAGAACAATCCAGGGAAAAACTCGCAGGAAGGAGCCTTGAGGGAGGCTGTGTGCCGTCCAGTGCAGCCTTCTTAGAGTCATGTAAATAGTTTAGAGCAATCTATCTGGTGAGAAACACAACGTGTCAGCAGGGAATTGTTCTCTGAACTGTAGTTACAGATGGGCCAGAGCGGGCGGATCAGCACACGTGGGCTGCCAGCTTAATGGACACAGCAGCTGCCTTTCAGGGGGAACAAAGGCCAGGCAGGCAGCCTCTGTGTGCCTGTGCTCTTGTTCCCCTCAGGACCTGCAGCTCGGTCCTGTGGCTGGATGGCAGTCCTGGGTTGCCTTCCCTCTCCATCTGCTGCGAGCTAATGCGGTGCCCAGGGATGGGGTAATGTCCCTGTGGTGCCCAGGGATGGGTTTATGTCCCTGTGGTGCCCAGAATGGGTTAATGTCCCTGTGGTGCAGTGCCCAGGGATGGGGTAATGTCCCTGCAGTGCCCAGGGATGGGTTAATGTCCCTGTGGTGCCCAGAATGGGTTAATGTCCCTGCTGCTCCCACAGAGGGCTGCAGGATTCACCAGGGACGAGGCAGTGCGGATGGCTGGGCGCTCTGCAGCAGCAGCAGCAGCCAACTGGAACAACGCTGTAACACCATCCACATCAGTGAAGTTACTCGTGATTTTTGAATGTAGAGTTGAGGCCCAGTGGCTTGGCACAGCACAATGGGAAAAGAGCAGATTTTCTGTTTGCTTCCATCCTGCGCTGGCTGTGGTGCCTCTTTCCCTGTCCAGAACAGCTGCGTGCTGCCTGAAGTGACTTTACAGACAGTAAAAGCTTAAAACATTGCATTCACCTTCATGATTTTTTTTCCCCTCAGAGCAAGTCATGGAGGAAGATCAAGAATATGGTGCACTGGTCCCCGTTTGTGATGTCTTTCAAGAAGAAGTACCCTTGGATCCAGCTAGCGGGACATGCAGGTACAGAGCATGGGGAGGGACAGAATGGTGGCAGGGAGGGCCACCTTCATTATCCCAGCTTAATGAGCTTTGCTGGCCTCAATTACTTCAGGCTGCTGCATGAGTGTCACAGCTTGCAGCTCCCAGCCTCTAGCCCAGGAGAGTGACTTATCTAATTGCTAGTGAGGGTAGTGTGAAGGTGCTCTGGGCTTTCAGTCTCCAGGGCCAGCAGGAATTATTGCTGCTTTTTCCTGGGTGCTTTGGGTGGGAGCCAGGCCCAGCTCCTGACCCACTGCCAAGCAGGTGATGCTGCCCAGCACAAAGGTGCCCCACACATGAGCACAGACACAAAGATGTGAGCCTAGAGGAAAGTGCACAGAGGATGTGAAGCAAACCTGTTGGGTGCTGCAGGACGGGTCTCTGCCTTCTTGGGGTGTGACGGTGCTGCTCATAAACCCCTGAGCTTTTCAGTCCTGCCTGTAGGGACTCCATGGGTGCAGGTGTAAATGGAGCTGTTCCAAGGTGTTGGGCTGACCTTCCTGCCACCCAAAGCAAGTGCCACATTGTCCCTTGTGCCCCTCAGGTAGCTTCAAGGCGGCGGCCAATGGCAGGATCCTGAAGAAGCACTGTGAATCGGAGCAGCGGTGCCTCGACCGCCTCATGAACGATGTCCTGAAGCCCTATGTCCCTGCCTACCACGGAGATGTGGTCAAGGATGGCGAGAGATACAACCAGATGGAAGATCTGCTGGCTGAGTTTGACTCCCCCTGTGTTATGGACTGCAAAATGGGGGTCAGGTGAGTGACACGGGGGAGGTTTTCTGAGTTTTAAGATGGGATACTCAAAAGTAAATGCATCTCCTAGGTAAAACTGCCTGAAATGCACAGTTAAGAATACCAGGCTCATCTGTCTTCAGGTAAAGCTCAGCCAATACCATGATAGAGCCATGGGGAAAGCTGGGCATGGAAAGGATACATCAGGCTCCTTCCTTCTCTACTTGTTGACTGTCCTACGTGCTGGGAAAGGTTTGGTGTGGTGGAGGGGACAGCCCTCTGCTTGGGTTTGGGTACACAGGAATGGCACAGTAGCTGTTGGGAGGTTCTCTCTGCCACATGAGCACACAGCCAAGGCATGGGGTGTAGGAGATCCTGCCCAGGGTGCAGAGGGATGAAATACTCTTGAAAGGCACAATTTCAGTGAGCGAGAAATTTTCCCTCTGCTCAGCCTTTGCTCCGATGCGCACTGGAGGGATGAAATGCGTGTGCTGAGCAGCTCTGCGCCTTTCACACAAAGCCCTTGAAATATTTCCTAACAGATGAGCAACATTAGCCATGTCCTCCTTGAGAACCATCTCTCCAGATCCACCAGGATCCCGGGCTGCAGCCACTTGGCCGGCAGCGGTTGTTGAGTGAGGCGTGCCACAGCTGACGGGGGTGTCCCAGAGCAGATGTGAGCAGGGCTGGTGGCCCCAGGTGGCTGCCAGCTTTGGGACAGCCTCAGGCCACCCCTGGGCCCTGGGCGTGCTGCAGGCTGGTGGCAGGAAGGGCCGAGACCCCCCTCGCTGGCAAAGGCGCAGCCCAGACATGGTGGAGACGCGCTGCTGGAAAAGCTGATGGTTTCTGTGCGAGGGAGGAATCTTTTTTTCCCCTCCTGAATCCCGATGTGAAACTCGAACTGCAGGGAAGGGGCGGGGAATACTTTCCACCGGAGGGGTGGAGGGAAGGGCAGAGGGCCCAGCACAGCCATGTGGCCCTGGCTGGCACACATACGCTGCTCTGGGAAGGAAACCCAGACAGCAGCACCAGGAGAGCTGCTGGATGTGCTGCCCAGGTGCTCCTGTGTCTCCCTCTGGGAGGAAGAAAGCTTCCCATGCACAGATCACATGTCAGGTGATTTATGCACCTGAGGCTTGGGAGCTCAGGCAAGGGGGCAAATGTACTGGGCATGGTCATCCCGAAATAAGATGGTGCTGTGGGAGGAGCTGGAGAGAGAGGATGGATGGAGTTAATGCTGTGGAATGGGGCATCCCCATGGCTGAGCAAATAATCTAAACCTCAGGGGTATTAAACCTGTCCTCTGAGCCAGCAGCTTGCTGCCAGGCAGATAAGGGTTTGTTTTTTTCATGCCAACATGGCTTTGGGATGTGGCAGCCTACTCCAGTTGCTCCTAAACAAAACTTTGTCTTTCTTAAGCCTTGGTGATGGCACAAGCCTGAGGCGATGGGGAAGACCAGGCCACAGATATTGATGATCTGTCATTCTCAAAAGAAGAAATTCTAGCCCTCTGAGCATGTAACCAGCACTTCCAGCATGCTGCTGCTTTATTCTGCTGTTTTATTCCATCTGCTCCAAAATAATGAATTTGATTATCTCAGCCAAGGACTTTCATTGCTTTTACCTGCAGTATTTTCCAAGGGGGCTGATGGCCTGGGGATGTCTGCCCTAAGCAAAGGCACCAGTTTGCCCTGTGGGACACAGGAACACTGTCCCACATAACCCACTCAGCACCCTCCCAGCTTGTCTTGCTTGGTTCTGGAGGTGAATCCCACACTCCATGCTGGGATTTTGGCACAAGGGGCATGGGCAGAGGGCACTGTCCCTCTGCAGAGCTGGGCATGGCTAGTGGGAGGTGTAGAACAGTGACAGATAGGGTCAGTCCTGTGTTGTTTTGCTGGGACATCTCACCCAGCTTGGTGGGCTGTTTGAGGAGGGCCTGGACACTTTCCAGGCCGAGCCAGGGTCGATTTGGGAGCTGTGAGAGGAATTCTGTGGTGGTTTATTATTGCTGCAGGAAATATTACTTTGTGGAGAATGATTTTATGCATCTACTAGAGTGCAGAACTTTTCCACCACTGTGCTGTGGCACTGAGGGCTGCTTCTCTGAAGCATGGATAAAACCAAGGTCTTTGCACACTCCTCTGCACCTTCCATCCTCCTTCCCCCATTCCCCCATCCTGGCTGCACCCTGTGGACCTGGGGTGGTGCTAAGTCCCTGGCCAAGGCTGCATCCCTTCCTGTGCTTCATCTTGAAGAGAAAGCTTTTGCTAGGAAGTCCACTTGAAGCAGACCTATACTGGGCAAAATCATCCCCAGAAAACCACACAGTTTAGCATCTGGTGAGGCAGAGCCCTCTTGGTGCAGAAAGTGAAGGAATTGCAAAAGCACAGGAGTGTAGGGGGACACAGTATGGGTAAATGAAGGTGGTATAGAATGTAATCTTATCCCCTAAAGAGTTGCAGCTGAACCAATTAATAAAGATTAGGAGCAGGCCTGATCTTAACATGCCACACCTGTAACCAATAAGAACAGTGGTATAAAAGAGTGGATTGGTGGCATCTGGAGTCAGATGGTTATTGCAAGGACTAAGATCAGTCAGTGCTTAGAGGAGATGCCTGTGAGAAACATTGAGGAGGTATGACACTCTGGCAATATGAAATCCTTGCACTATAATAATAATAGAACTCTTGCTATATAAGACAACACAGGAGAGGCACAGGAGCAGCTTTGGCTGATCCTCAAAGGGAGCAGCAGCTGATGCTGAAGGATGGGACACAGTAATTGTGTCCTTCTTGTCTTCAATTCAGCTGGCTCCTAGAGCATGTGCACAGTTTCCTGGGCTTATCTTGAAAGCCATGTTTAGCTCAGGTTTCCTGAACTTTGGGGTAAGCTCAGGACATGGGATGGCACGAGGAGGCTGCTGGGGTGGCAGCAGCAAGAGAAATAACTTCCCTTGTTATTGCCAGACTGGTTGTGGTTCATGATGAACTGAAAAGATACCAGGTCTGGGTGATGGAGTGATAATTAAATCAGGATTGATCCGGCCACAATGAGGCTTGCTCCATTATTTCCTATGCTGCACTACTCCTTAGGGATCAGCTATCCTGGATCAGCCTGATTTCTGGGCTGAGGGCTGTCTGTGGGTGTGTGCACCTCATGTTTGTTACGTGCTCACACACCCCCTCACTCCCTGCAGAACGTACCTGGAGGAGGAGCTGATCAAGGCCCGCAAGAAGCCAAGCCTGAGGAAGGACATGTACCAGAAGATGATTGAGGTGGACCCTGACGCCCCCACCGAGGAGGAGAACGTGCTGCGTGCCGTCACCAAGCCCCGCTACATGCAGTGGAGGGAGACCATCAGCTCCACAGCCACGCTGGGCTTCAGGATCGAGGGCATCAAGGTGAGCCTGGCCAGTGGGCACAGCAGGGAACAGCTCACTAGCCAAACTCACAGAGGTACACACACAGCAAATTAAATTAATTATTAAATTACAAGAAATTGGTTCAAGAAAGGTGTAAATGAGCATCAGTCGAGGGCATCAAGGTGAGCCTGGCCAGGGTGCACAGCAGGGAACAGCTCACTAGCCAAACTCACAGAGGTGCACACACAGCAAATTAAATTAATCAATTGATTAAAAGGAATTGGTTCAAGAAAGGTGTAAATGAGCATCAATTGAGGGCATCAAGGTGAGCATGGCCAGGGTGCAGAGCAGGGGAACAGCTCACTAGCCAAACTCACAGAGGTGCACACACACAGCAAATTAAATTAATTATTACATTAAAAGAAATTGGTTCAAGAAAGGTGTAAATGAGCATCAGTCATTGGCTGCCTTTATTCCCATCATGAAGGGCTTTCCTGAGTGTAAGGATGTGCTTTACCACATGCTTTCCTGAATCTGGGTCAAGGCTCCTACTGCTCTTTGAATTTGGGCTAAGATAAGCTCTTCACTTGGGATCATGGCAAAGTTTACAGCTGTTACCCAGAAACTATATTAAAAATCAAGAAATTTAGGTGCTTTCTCTTTTTAATGATCCAAAAGGACAAGGTAAACAGCAGTAAATTTGGGGTTTGATTGAAATAGGAAAACAGCTGTAGTAGGGAATTCAGGGAGAGTTTCAAGGGGAGCAGGAAGGGAAGTTGTTTCAGGGCACTGGGATGTCTTTCTCTACATACACACATGCAGTCTCATACATGTGAGAGCAGCTCACACCTGGACATCCCCGGCCCCTGCAGCCAAAGCACCTCACAGGCACCTCAGCCAGGGCACTGCTGCTCCTCTGAGAGTGCAGCTGAGCTCAGGGCATCATCCTGAGGATGGTTTTAGACATAATCTCATTACATCAGCTGCTTGGTTGACTTCTCCCTCCCTGCAAAATACCAAGTGCCATCCTCCAACCTGAAGGCTCAAATTAGTTGTTTGCTTTCAGTTCTGCTCTGCCACTGGGCTGAGCCATTAATCCAAATCCCAGCTTGAACGTGTGCCTGTCTGTGGTTGGAGCTGGGAACTTAGCCACAGCCAGTCAGGAGGGTGTGTTTACCAGCCTGTCCAGGAAGATTCAGCAGCTGAGCCCTTTGAAATGGGACACGCACACACAGCTGGGATGTTTCTGTGTCCCCAGCAGGTGAGCCAGCCCAGGAGATTTTCTCCAGGGAGGTGAGAAAGGTGTCTGGGATGGCACTTGAAGAATTAGGTGTGTAGCCACAGGGTATCAGTGATGCCGCTTGCATGAGCACCAGCAATGGCCTGTGCCTTTTGCTAGCCAGCCAGGGTGAATTAAAGGTAACATCACACTTGAGCCAAGGGTTTCACTGCATGCCTGGGCATGGTGTTAGCTCTGTCAAGTTGTGTTTGCAGTAATTCAGGCTTGGGTAGCTGCTGAGGGCCCGGGACCCAGCTCAGAGCAGCCACTTGCTCTTAGTGGAAACAGTGGCTCATATCTGCAGGTGTCTTGATTGGAGGAGCTTCTGTCTCTTGATCACAGATTATTTTTCTCCCTCTGAGTTGGGCAGAATTTTCCCAGAGTGCCTGTCTGGGGCTCTGTAGCCAAACCTCCTGCCTGAAGATAGCGGTGTCAAAATGATAGAATTAAAACAAATTAAGCTGGTCCCTGATAAAGCCCTCACAACAGATTTTTTAGACTTCCCTGGCAGCATTTCCAGTTGGGACTAAAGCTCCCATGCACTGCTTCTTCCCCTGCTCTCTTGGTGTAATCAGAAATATCTACTTGTAGTCCAGCATGATATGTCCTTGGTCTCCAGTGGTGATTCTCAGTCTGGGCATGTTTAGGGGGGCAGGCTATATATGAAGCACTTGAAATTAAAAAATAAAACAAACCCCAAACAAATCATATCCCCAGGGAGGCCAAAAAGCCCTGTGAAGGAAAATAAGAGCCATAAAGGAGTTATGAGATTTGTACCTCTGTTTAGCCGACCACAAATGAGTTGCTGCCTGATCTGAGCAGTGAATTCTTTTTTCAAAGAGGTGAAGCAGCCCTTTAATTGAAAAATGTTGAGAAGTTCTGGCCTCCAGCAGTATTCCTGCTGCTGCTAGGGGGCTGACTAATTTGATCAAGGCTCTAATTACTGTAATTCTCCTTAAATCCCTCAGCTTCTGGGTTATTTTCCCCTAAGCTAAAGCATTAGCAGTTCATGCTGTTTCACAGCTGGCTTTTTTTTTTTCCCCAACAGGGCTGGTCATGCTCTGCTGTATCCCTGTTGTTCTCCCTATTTCTGGGATTGAGTTTGTGTGTTAGGGAAGGTGCCATTGGTGTCTTCCCTTGTTTTATTTCTTGCTGTGGATGCTTCCCTGGGGAGAGCAGTGGTGAATCTGCTCATGGATGGGGGCTGCCAGAGGAGAGCTCTGAGAAGTGCAAGGGAAGGACAGGATTTGACCCTGGACATGTGGGAAGGGCTCATAGGAAGGAGAGGAGCAGTGGAAACTTTTTGGATAGCACAGTCAGGTAAGGCAAACAGCTCAGGGCTGGGCATGAGGATAGCAACCCTTTCCTGGCTGAGCTCTCCCTTTCCCAGGTGGCCTTGATGATCCAGTTCTTCCTCTTTAAAATGGAAATTTTCCTTTGCAAAAGGAGATAATGACATTCATCTGACTTTCTGGAATAGCTTGAACCTGTTGGAAACAGTAGCTATTAATAAAATTTCCATGCTGAAAGTAACACAAGTGATCCCTGGTGGCCCCGTTGAAAGAAGTGACACTCCCGGGCTGCTGCCCTGCTCTGAGCCTTACTCACCACTGCCTGCAGGAAGGCCACGGTGGGATGGCATTGCTGGGTCCCTAAACCAGGCAGGAAAGCCTCCCCCTAAGTGTGCCAAGCCATGCAAGGCCAGAGGCAGAGATGTGGCTGAGCCCTGCCCCAGTGACACCAGCTGAGCTGGAATCGCTGCTGGGCAGAGGTTGTGATAGCCCTTATCAGCTCCCCTCACATTGCTCCTGTGTGGAAGGCAGCCCCCTGGGGGCTCAGACACCTGGGAATGGCATGGCAGCTGTCAGCCTGGTGGCAGCAACCCCTGGCTGGGCAAGGAAGCTGCAGGAGGTGGGAGCAGCACTAGGGATAGGCTGCTTGGCCTTCCTGAAGCTGAGACTGCCTTATCGGAAAGGCCATCTGTGATTTGGGATTATTTTTAGGAGCACTTACAAGTCCATCTCCTTTCTTGGATGCTTTGTGGAAAGTTGTGGTCCTTACATGTGGAATTAGTGCTGTGGCCCTTCTCCAGGTTGATATTGATCATCCCCCTGGGAGAGGGTGGGTTCATTTCTGAGCTGCCATGTCAGGGGCTCACAGGAGGGACATGCAGCAGCAAAGTGCCCTTCCCCTGTCCATCACACACCAGAGCATCCTCAGCAAGGTCACAGCTGAGAGCACAGATCCCAGCAGTGGAAAGATGGTCCCTGACCCCTGCCAATACACACTGTGCCAGCCCTGAGCGTTGCTTTTGGATGCTGTGGCAGCACAATGGTCAGGCTGAGCCCAGGGTGATTTGAAGCTGGGTGCAGTCAGTGCAATTGGTACAAACAAAGTTTTTCCTGGAGTTTTTCTTTTGTGTGTTGCTTTTGTTAATGCTTACACAAAACACAAGCTGGAAGCTGAAGTGTGCTGTGTGATTCATCCCAAACTGCGCTTCAGGTGCTGGTTTGGTGGCAGGCTTGCCTTGGGCACTTGACCTTCCCCCAAGCCACCTCTCCAGGGGGATGCTCATTGCCCTGTGCTGGGGCACTTCCCTGGATGGATCTCTCACCTCCAGGGCAAGTGATTTCATTGTGCCTTCTTCCTCCTCCAGCCTCTGCTCTGCTCCTTCATCTTCCCCAGCCCACAGGATGTCTTCTGGCCCCTGTCCCTTTGCTGTATTGTGTGCAAACGAGCTGTCTGGAGCAGTGGGATGGAGCCCTGCAATGGAGCTGTGAGCACGAGCAAGTGTGGTTTAAAATAGCCCCTGTATCCAGGAAGTGAGATCTGCCTGCCTGTCCCAGGGCCCCTCTGGACAATGAAATGAGTTGATGTCAAAACCAGAGCCCCAGAAGGACCAGGGAAATGGGGAGAGACCTACAAAGTTGCCCAGAGGTTCAGACAGGAGCCTCTGAGTGTTGTCCCTGCAGTGGGCAAGCCATGCCTTGCCAGCCAAGGATGGATGTGCCTTGGGAAAAGGCAGAGGAGAGCACAGGGCTGCTCACTGCATCTCAGTGCCAGGCTGCTGCCTTGAAGGGTTTGTGATCCCTGGACTATCAGAGGACCAGTGAGGCCAGGTGGCCTTGGGCTTGCTCCTTGCTGCAATGGTCCATGGAGGATTTCTCACAGAGCAGTTTTGTTCCGGCTCCTGAGATGGCTTTCCCATCCATGCTCAGTTTTGTCTCATTGTGATCAGGCTCTGCTGTCCTCCCCAAGCCAGGGAGACAGTCCAGGGCTGGTGTCAGTGCCATTCTCAGCCACAGCAGCCATGGGAAGCCATTTGGGCACAGAAACACCAGAAACAGGTGGTCTCCAGCCTCTGTTAGCAGCAAGCAGCTGGTCTGTGAGGAGAGTTTGCCCACATTGCCAGAGACCTTGGCAAGTATTTGATGATGGGGAGTTCTGTTTGCATTAGAGATCAATGCACTGGGGCTGTGGGATAACTTGGGATGTGCAAGCCTTCCTCTGCTCACCCCTGCTCCACGGACAGATCCTTCAGCTGCCAGAAACACTGGTCACATCCTGCTTGGCAACATGCATGGCTGCAGAAACACTGCTCCTGCCCCAACTCCCTCCCCATCCAACTCAGCCCTGTCCCTTCTTTTCAAGAAAGAGGACGGCACTGTGAACCGGGACTTCAAGAAGACACGGACAAAGGAACAAGTCATGGAGGCCTTCAGCGAGTTCACCAGAGGAAACAGGAATGTTTTGGTGAGTGAGGGGTGTTGGGGGCACTGCCTGGAGAGGGCAGTTCTGTGGAGCCTGGCCTCAGCTCATCAGATCCCTGACCTGCAGGGCTGAAGCCTGAGCAATGTCTCTTAGAAAGCATGAGAAGTGTTGGAGAGAAACACTGTCCTGGTGCGGGGTGAGGGGGAAGCAGTGGAGAGCAGGGAGGGGACTTGTCTGTAGCAGCACTGCTTGACCCGAGTCTGAGCCTGCTGAGGATCTCCAGGATTGGCTTCCAAACCCCAGTGAGGAGTCACAGCCATGCTCTGTCCCTCACCCCTGGGCTGGTGGTCACCCCAGCCCTCTCTGTACCCCAGTGTGAGTGCTGGGGGCTCCCATCCTGCGTGGGGGGTGCCTGTGCCCTTCTCACAGCAGGCCGATCCTGTGCCAGGCACACTTCACATGGGCAAGCCACAGGCAGCATTTTCCAAGCTTCCCTAAGCTGCCAGGAGAATAAGAGATCTGGCTGTAAACAATTTACACCAACTGTGTCAAATAACCTATTTGACAAAGCACTCCCATTTTAAGCTGCGCTGTATAAAGTCTCCAAGTGCAGTGCTCCAGCTGGAGAGGCCCTTGGCACTGTCTCCTTAAACTGGCATGCTTGCTTTCACAAGAGTTACACAGGGATTTTCCTGGATCTACAGATGAAGTTGCCTGGCTGCATTTTAACCCCAGAGAACTTGGAGCACACATCGTGCCATGGCTCTGGATGGGGCTCCATTTTTATGTGGCCAGTGCATTTTTATACAGCAATCCCACCTCTCCCCTTGCAGGTGTTTTACTGTGCCCAGATACTTGCTGTGTCTGTGTGTGTGTTCCTGTGCTTAATTCCTCTATGTAAACCTCAAAATTAGTGGAGCCCCCTGAGAATTTTTAGTGCCTTCCAGCAGTTTGCAGGGATGCTCAAACAGGTTGGTGGTTCTTGACCTGTGTGCTGGCCATGGTGAAAGCCCTTCTGCCCACAGGACCAGCTTTGCAAAAGTGCTGATAACAGAGTTGCAGAAGGGTCTCATGATGTGTGACTGCCTGAGTGCTAAAAAGGCAGATGAAGTGAAGAGTTGATCTGTGAAGAGAGTGCAGGGGAGAGGAAGAAGTAGCAGCTGCTGAATTAGGTGTTCCCACCATGGATGCAGCAGGGGCACTCTGCAGAAAGCACCAGTTCAGCAAAATCAAATGCTTTCACTAAGTTTTGAAAGCCTCAGGAGCTCAGGGTGCTGTAGAAACCAAAAGGAAAAGTGGATCATAAAAAACTCTGCAGAGGGAAACGTCTGTGGGAGGATGCTGGGCATGGGGGTGACTTTCCTGCCTGCCCCAATGCAGTGGGTTTTATGTAGGTTTCCTGCAACACTAATGCCTTGGATTTGGGTTTTTTTTTGTAATTCCAGAACAGTTACCTGAACCGGTTGAAGGGTATCCGTGCTACCCTGGAGACATCCCCATTCTTCAAGTGCCATGAGGTAATTCTGCTGTTTATATAGATCTGCCTGGAGAGGCAAGCTGTTTAATCCCTGCTTGTCCAAGGAGAGAAGTCAAAGTCAGAGGCTGGTTTATTCTTATATCTGTATTTTCATATGTGTATGCAATACTTACGTGCAAATATAGATGATAGCATACAATGTTTGTGCATCTGACATGGGCTCAAATCCACTGAAAGCCAATGTTCAAACAGATTAAAAGTGATCTAGGAGGAACTTGGGCTGTTTATGACAGGGAAAATTCCCTAGTGTAAAAGCACAGGGGTTTTCTCAGGAGAAATGTCTATTTGAATGCATGTCAGGTATCATTTGGCTGACAGTTGCTCCACATGATCAAACAAGGCTTCAACACAGCCCTAAATTGCAGATACCCCCAAAATGCCTTTACTGAACTGGTTGGGACACCACAGTATAAACTCTGCCTTTGAAAGGAATTTCATACAGAAATGAGTGTCCACAATACCAACATTTTCTATAGTGAAGACTCAGTGCTAATGGGAAAACAAGGAGGGAGCACTGTCTTTTTTGGCCATTTCAGGAACTGAAATGCCTCACAGTTTAATGCAATAATTTTGCTGTTACATTTACTTAACAAAACACGAGAGTGCGTGTCCTTGTCGTGTGTGGTGTAGGAATAAAGAGCCTCATAGGAATTTTTGAGTCCAAGAGCCCACTGTCCCTCATCCAGAGGCACCTCAGCCCCAGCCAGACACGGAGAGTCCTGCCAGGAGCCAAAGGCAGATGGGGCCATGCCTCCTGGTGGCAGTGCCTGGAAGGGAAATGTCAAAACTGAGGGTTTCAGGGCAGCTCAGCACAGGAAACAAAATTCTCCCTGAAACCGAGTGCCAGGGTTTCATTTGAAAACACAGAAACAAAGCAGCCTTTCAGAGAGGGTTTGAAAGGAGTTTCCACTCCTTAAAAATTAAAAAGCAGCAGCTTTGACTTTCCGTCCCACTGTGAGATGAAGCACAGCAGAAGGTCTGCCAAGCTCTGTGTCCCTCCGTGGGGCCCTTGCTGAGCAGGGCTCCTCCAAGGAGCTGCAGGGGAATTGGGCAGTCCAGGACACACAAATGAGGAATGTCAGCAAAAGGCTTTTCCTTAAATTTAGAATGCTCTGTCCTGGCCAAGACAGAGGTTAGCAGGAGGAGAGCTAAAGATAAGCATTTCTTGGAAATAATACGCATCTCTGGACCTTGGATGTTTTCCCAACACACTGGAGGAAAAAGTCTCCTGAAAAATGTAAATTTATAACAGCTTTTGCAAACACTACATGCATCCTGTTCAAAACCCTTGTCTAAAGGCAAACCTCAGGCTAAGCCCTGCTGCTAGCAGGGATGTGGGAGTCCCCAGTAACATTTAGTGCTGCTGGTCTGGAGGGCTGACACCAGCTGGGTTCTCTTCCATGTACCTCCACATCATAAGGGGCACTCGTGGCTCCCAGTGCTCTGCATCACCTCTGCTGCAGCCCTTGCACTCTGGTCACCAAGGTCCCTATTTGTGACAAAGGGGCAAGTGAGTGTAATTCACCAATTCACTCATATCAGAATTTGGAACAGTTCTGAAATGCACCCATTGGTGCTTTTCTGTAGAAGCCCCTGCTGAAATCTTCTGACTGGAGGAAGAGATTAAGCAGAAGAGCATGATGGTGACTGGCTTGATACTGATACAGGTTTCCTAGGCACTGGGAAGCCACAGCAGAGCTGCTGCTGGCTGTCAGCCTGGTGGGACTGTGAGCCAGGGTGGGTCAGGATGCTGAGCTGCTGAGCATCTCTCTTCTTTGTGTGTGGTGACCATTGGGCTTGTGGGGTCTCATCCCACTGCAACAGGCCTTGAGACTTTTGCTATCAGAGCCCAAATGCACCTCCTGGCTTCCCTGGTCTTGCCCAGGCCACTGCTTGCTGCAGGATTTTCCCCAAAGCTGTTCAGGACGGATAGAAAAGAGCCCTTCAAAGCAGATGCAGCCGAGTGAACTCAGAGGAAAGGAAATCCATGCAGCTCTATACTTTGCATCCCCAGAGTGCTGTGAGTGCCAGGAGGATTTTCTAGGGGCAGTCTGGGTGTAATTCAATGGTGTTTGAAGCAGGAGACAGCAGGTTGCAAGTTACTTGTAGTTGGAGTGCCCCCATCCCTGCAGTGGTGTTCTGCAGGATTGGTGAGTGCAGAGAGCACAGGCTGATCACAAAGAATCAACCTTAAAACCCCATCTGAAGGTTGAGACAGTTCATCTCATTCTTTCCTAAGGGACCTTAGCTCATTTTCCAAAGTGACATCTTTATCTTTCATGCCCATGTTTTCCTGATCCTCTCCTTCTGCCAAGACCTGGGATTTGTATGAGTAAATCAGCTTGTCCAAATGCCCCATTTGCATGTGCAAACACAACCAGTGGCACACAGAGCTTGCTTCTCCTCATGCAAAATTGCAGCAGCATCTCTTGGAAATGCAGCCTGACCGAGATAAGGTGTCTGAAAGCCCCAAAGATGGCTGAAAACAGGAGCGCCACTAATTGGTCTCACCTCTCCACAGGTAATTGGGAGCTCTCTCCTCTTCATTCACGACAAGCAGGAACAAGCCAAAGTCTGGATGATTGACTTTGGGAAAACCACCCCACTGCCAGAGGGACAAGTTCTCCAGCACAACGTGCCCTGGGTGGAAGGGAACAGAGAGGATGGCTACCTCTGGGGGCTGGACAACCTCATTCAGATCCTGACAGAGTTGTCCCAGAGCGAAGACTTGCATTAAAGCCGCGCATCCGACTCTGCCACTACCCCAGCCTGCCCCCGACTGACTCTTCTGAACTGCACTACAAGACACTTTCCAGCCCTCGCCCTCCCCGTTGGAAAGCTATACTCTCCCTATTTAATGTGTTTTTGTTGTGGTTTTTTTAGGTTGTCTTGGTTGTTTCCCCCCCTCCTTGTAAATAGAGAGCTAGCCTGCCAGAACAAAAGCTGAGCTTGAAACCTTGGCTTTGCAGAGTCAGTGGGAGCAGGTGGCGCAGGGCAAGGGCATGCTTCGCCTGTCGTGCTTTTGTCTCTTGCTCAGCCTGATGTTAAGAGGGCTGGCGGAGGAAGGAGCCTCTTCCTGCACCAGGATCATCCTGAAAACGCTCAGTGACCGTGCCCAGGACCCTCTGGCAGTCAGAGAGTGTGAGCGAGGTGTGGAGATGGTGAAGGACACTGTAGTGGGAGCCCTTTGGTTGTCTCTGCCAGCACGTTTCAGCCCAGGATGCTGGCTGTGCCAAGTCCTTCAGAGAGCTGCTAGAAGGGCACATTTGGGGTTTAATTTGTGCTCAAGACATCTTGTAGAGGTTGCTGTTGTTTTTGAGTGGCACTGAAGGGCTTCCCTCCTGCTGCAGAGCCATGTAGTCAGGCACAGGTATTTGCCACGGCCAGGTGCTTCCTACCCACATTCCCCATGCTGGGTGCCCTGGTGAGCAAAACTTTAGGCTCCTCTCTAGAGCCTCAGCTCCCCCGCTAGGAACTGCTAGGAACTGCTTCCAGCCTACCTTAGCTGGGGTCTCCCTCCCTAGCTGGGAAAAATAGCTCCTAAAGGACTACTATGAGACCTAAAGTAGCCATCCAGGTCGATCAGTCTTTTTTGTCAGCAGCTGAGCACACATGTAGTGCCACCAATGCTCACACCTAGCCCAGGGCATGTCCATAATTTCCATCTGCATCAGGTGAAGGCTCACAGCAGCAAGGCAGCACCCAGCTTAGACACCTTTGGCAAAGCAAAGCTGGGCTCAGACATCCCTGTGCCTCCCCCTTTTTCCACAGAGCTGCCTGCTGGGGCCGTGTGAGGGCCCCTGTGCTCCTGCTCCTGTGAAAACACCCAGTTCCCTGTTTAGGGCGGAGGCTATTTTTTAACTTCCTGGAACATTTGAAGCGAGCAGCGGCAGGGCTGCTGCGCCAAAGGTCATCCCTGGAGAGGCTGGAGGGGAGGGGAGGCTGCAGCAGCCCCTGCCTCGAGGAACCTGCAGCTCAGGGGGTGGTGCAGGAGCTTGGCAGCCATGCATCCCTCACCTGCTCCATCATCCATCCCCAAACCCACTGTCCAGAGCCCCTCTGCCATATTTGATGGGTCCGGCACCCTTGATGAGGGAGACCTCCCTTGCAGCAATAAGGAGGAGTTGGCCACCAAGGCATCTGCAGCCAAGCCTCTTCCCCAAGGACTGAAGTTTCCTAAGGTTTTTTCTCAGTTCATAGCTCACCAGACAGGTGTCTTGTGCTTATCAGATGCCATTGTAAATGGTTGCACTGTTTTAGCTCCTTGCCAGGCTTTCTAGACTAGCCCATGTGGAAGTGCCTTATAGACTTTGCCTCTGTTCCATTAGTGTCATGGAAAAGGTCGGGTTGTTTTTTTTTTTTTTAAGTTATATTTATTTTCATCCCATTTTAATTGCACAAAACACTAAAATTTAATGCATGGAATATTTTTTTTTAACTGTGTTTTTTTTTTAGTTTTTAAGCCATGCCTTTTCCAACTTTGGAGAAAGGCTGTGAACAGATATGCTATGTAGCTATGTACCACTTACTGCTGTACTTTAGCTTCGAGCTGCTCTTATATATGTATGTTATTTTTTAAGCCTGTTTATAAACCAGATCCCTTGCTTTGTGGCTTCAGAAGAAGCAGATTGTTGCTCTCAGATGTCTTATGCTTTCCTGGAAGCTGGAATGGTTGCTGTGAGGGATTTTCCCTGCTCCCACCACACCTCTTGGTCATTGGGTAATACAGAAAAAAAAAATTCCAAACTGGTCTGGAACACCAACGCACAGTGCCTGTAAAAAAGTCCTGTAACATTGCAAATAAAGGCATATGGGAAGCATTCCCCTGGTGTGCAGTCAGTGTCTGCCCTGTGCAGCTTGTGGCAGCCTTGGAACAGCCTTTCATGTCCGTGGCTGGGGGGGAATCAGGCTCCAGCAGTGCTGCATAAAAGCAAGAGTAGGGAAGGACCCTGTGCTGGGAACAGATCCTGACAAACAGGAACTGGCTCTGCAGGGAGCAGGGCAGGAGCAGAGCAGAACTGGGGCTGTGGGAGGCCCAGGCTCAGTGGGAGCTGCTTCCCAGAGAGGCCTGAATTCCTCCATCCCCCTTCTGCAGGCTGAAGGCAGCTCAAGTTTTTGGAATGTGTTTGGCTCCCACTGAGCGGTTTCTGAGTGCCACCCTGTGATTCCTGCTCTGGAGAATCCCAAAGCACCCAGGAGAATCAGAGCTGCTTGGCACAGCCAAACACTCCCCCGGCTCTTCTCCCTCTCAGCTGCACTGTGGGCAGGGCCAGAGAGTTGGGACCACAAAAACCCCCAGGTTGTTTCTGCAGGGAAGGAGGAATCAGGCTGTAGAGCCTGAAGGCAGCACAATTCCCTCCTGGCTGGTTGTGCAAGCACAGGACAGCGGGAGCTGTTCTGGCACAGATGTGACTAAAGCCAGATTTAGTGCCCAGACCCTCAGGAGCAGCCCAGCCTGGGGACCAGACCTGACTCACCACGGGTCCTCTAAAAGAAACTGCAGGAGAAACCCTGCACTGTGGAATGTGGGGACTGGAAACCTCTTGGTCTGAGGCAGGGCTGGCAGGACACTGATGTGAGGCTGCTGCCTGTGCACCAGCGGTCTCTCCTGGGCTGTGGGAAAGCAAACACATTTCCTGTCTGCCTGCTGAGCTCACTCCAGCAGAACTGACAGCCCCTGATTGACTTACAGGTCCAGTTTTTGGGGTCTCTCTGGTCTGTGACTCCTCTTCCTAGCTTCAGAGGAAAACAAAAGCTTCCAAAACTTACCCAGCTGCACCCTGAAATGCAAAAACAGAGAGTGAAGAGCCCTGTTCTGTGAAAACCTCTCCTGAGAGTTGAGGAAACACCATGACATTGTTGTGGAGAGTGTGCAGAAAAATTCACAATACCAGAGGCTTATGTCCAGAAAGGAGACACAGGAATCCTGCAACTTTATTTAAGTAAAGAGAAAGGCCATGGGGCATTTCCCCTGGGGTCTATCAAACTGTTGAAGGATGCAGCCTCCTTTTTATCCTAATTTCCTGGTCACAACACCCTCTTCCTTTCCCAATTGGCTTAGGTACTTGGAAGGTACAGACTTCCCTACTGCATGTTCCCCTCTAATATGCACATCCCTCCTTTTTTGTATCTATAACAAAACAATATTCATAATTCTGTTCAGTCTTTGTTGTTCTTCTCTAAGTTCAGGAATTTGACATGGCCTTGGCTGAGCAGCACTCTGTGTCAATTGGTAACATTTTCTAGTTTCTCCTGTTCCTTCCCTATCTATGAGTCCCTGGCCCTATCTACAAGCAGATTTACATGGTCTGTAAAGACACATTTATCCTATTCCTTTCAAGAGGAGAAGGGAGTAAGTGAGGAGAAGAAACCCCTTGTGGCTGAGTGCAGGCATCTGCTGTCCTTGGGTTTATCAGAGGGTTGGGATGGCACATGGCACAGCAAGAGCCTGGCTTGGCCTCCCTGCCTGGCTTTTCTGCACCCCCAAAGCAAAGCCCACAGCCCTCTGACACCTTATGCATCAACAACATAATTGATTCATAAACTCAATATAGAGAAGAGGGGCCAGGATTTACATTATTGCAACAAAGAAAGCTTTACACCTTGCTGAGGTTTCTACCCTTCCAGAACAGAGCCTGGCACCACCTCCAGCAGTGCCAGGAGCTGTAAGGTAGGGAGGGGCAGCTACTTCAGCCTTGTCTGACAGGGCGCTACTTGACAGAATGAGCCTCCCATTAATCAGGGGTGCTGGGGCATTGCAGCCTGTGAAAATGCAGGACTGTGGTGGTGGTTGACAGGGATCAAACAGTGCGCTCATCTTTGTTCCCAACACAAGCTGCTGGGGTTTTGGGGGTCTCAGGAGGGATTTTACCCTGCCATGGGGTAAAATCCTTCAGCCCCCAGCATGAAGCCTGGCAGCAGTCGCAGGGCCCCCGTGTTCTTCTGCCCGGTGTGGCTGGGGGGAAGCAGGAGTGAGGAGTGGAACATCTCCTGCCTGTGTGCTGCTGCGGGGGATGCATGGCCAGGGCAGCATGGGGACACCACGGAGACGGCGACACCGTGACCAAGCAGCACCGGAGTGTGAGGGTGCTGATCAGCCTGGGGATGCTTTTCCCGTCAGCCTCACACAGTGAGGTTGTGCCTGGCACCTCCAGCGTCCTGCTGCCTTGGAGATGTTTTGGGGGCCATGCTGCCGGGGCACCCTCAAGCCTTCAGTGGGGTTCGGTCTCAGCCGCACAAGGGCTGTGCTCCCCCTTTCTGCCGTCCCTTAAAAACCAGACCCGACCCTCCTGTCCCGGTGGACACGGGCTCCCGGTGCCGGTGCTTCCCCCGCGGGCCGGGAGGCGGCGCTGTGCCCCCGGCGGCGGGCAGGCCTCGCCTCACGGCGGGCAGGGCCCCGCGCCTCACGGGGTGTTCCCCCAAAGCGCCGCTGCTTTGAGGCTTTTTCTCCACCCCCCGGTGCTTTTGGGGTTTGGGTTTCGCACTAAGAGCTGGGGAGGTGGTTAAATTAATAAACGCTGCCCTTTCTAGCAGCAGCTCCATCCTGGAGCCAGCCTGAGCAGGGCAGGGGGTGAAGGGTTCGTGTTGCCCGCATCTCCTTTGTGGGTGGTTCTAGGGGTGAGAGAGTGAAAAATGCCAATCGCTTGGTTTTAAAATTTTAAAAATTTAATAGTAATAAAATGGTTATAAAAATAGTAATATAATTAGACTAATAAAAATTTGGACAATTAGGATGAGGACAATATGAGACAATAAAAACAAAGAGTTATGAACAGTCCGAGTACCTCTTTCTGGGCAAAATAAGCCCAAAAAAGGATCCAAGTTTAACAGGGGATTAACCCTTAAAAGCAGCAGCCTATTGCATATTCATACACCTCATCCATGATGCATAAATTCCATTCAAATACAGGATTCTGTCTGGTCAGTGTCAGCTTCTTCCTCTGAATCCTAATGGGAAGAAGTTAATTTCTTCTGATAAGAGAGAATTATTCTTCTGGTAATTCTTTTCCTCTGAAGGATTTAGGTGTCCTGTGGCTGCTATCTCAATGTGAGATACACACTACTTAAGAAAGTTAATACAGCATAACTTTCTAACATAACACATATAATATTAGTTTTAATATTTGCAAAAAGCCAATCACAAAATACACATTTTTCACAGGCTCCATCCCAGAGCCAGCCTGAGCAGGATGAAGGGGGTGAAGGGTTCCTGGTGCCCACATCTCCTCTCTGAGTGGTTCCAGGGGTGACAGGCTGGGGGAACACATCTCTCCTCCCTGTGCCAGTGCAGGGTTGGAGCCCGCGGCAGCCCCAGCCCTTGGGGACAGCTTTCCCACTCTCATTTGAGTCTGTGTTTTGTTCACTTCCCTGCCTTTAAAAAAAATATAAATTTGTCCCAGGGATGACCTGCCATGCCCAGGGCCACACTTCACTCACAGCTCTGCCACGTCCTGCACCCCCAGTGCCTGACCCATCACCAGTGATGCCTCCAGCAAGGAAGGCTTTATATGGGGATTTGTCACGGACATATTTTAGGAAAAGTCTTTTTGCTAGGATCTTTTCTCCTGAGAAGCTGAGAGGCCTCAGAAATAAAATTTAGACAATGATTATCTGCTGCTGTGGAATGCAACAGGTGCATCTCTGATTGGTCTCATGTGGTTGTTTTTAATTAATGGCCAATCAAATCCAGCTGCCTTGGACTCTCTGGTCAGTCACAAGATTTTATTATCATTCCTTTTCTTTCCTTTCAAGCCTTCTGATGAAATCCTTTCTTCTATTCTTTTAGTATAGTTTTAGCATAATATATATCATAAAATAATAAATCAGCCTTCTGAAACATGGAGTCAAGATTCTCATCTCTCCCTTCGTCCTGGGACCCCTGTGCACACCACCACATTTGGTGCCCCGTGTGAGGAACACTGCCGCAGGGATTTACTGCTCTGGGGGCTGTTGTTGCTT